AAAAGTGCACAGTTATTTTTTTTTCTCCATGGGTCGCCGTTTATCTTGTTGTTTATATGATTGCATGTGTTTGTATTTAGTTTGTAGTAATTTCCTCTAATTTAAGAGTTCACACTTAGCTGATTTATAAAAGCATGTTTGGCATGTTGTCCCGGGAGAGAGCCCCGCGCTCAAGGGATCCTCGAGCCCGGGGCTTCCTCCCGTTGGCAGAGCGAGAGGGGAGCCTGAGTTCGGTGGATCTCAGAACTCCCCGACTGCTAAGGGAACAGAGGGGTTAGATAAATGCTTAATTGTTATACGTGTTAAATGTCTTTGGATGGTGGGAGGAAACCGGAGAACCCGGGGAAAACCCAAGCGGACATGGGGAGAATATACAAACTCCTCACAGAAACACCCACCGACCCTAAGGGACCAGGGCCAGCAGTGTTCTTGCTGTGGGGCTCGCAGTGCTAACCACTGGGCCGCCGTGCCGCCCAATCATAGGTAAAGGAGGAGAATAGGGGAGGGGGGGGGGGTTTCTTCCAAACGAAGATAAAATGAGCTGGAAACTGTAGTTATTTATAGCTTAGGGCTCGTTTGATTGGAAGATAGTGATTAGCAAATACGTGATAAATCATAAGCACGTGATCCTCTTGAAATTAGTTCATGAATAAACCTCACTTGTCGTGCTCTGCATAACTTTTGGAATCAAACCCATGTTACAAGCTGGAAAACAAGTGAGTTATAAGTATGCAGAATGTACCTCATGATTTTCACAGTAATCCCTTTGTTTACAGTGCAGTGACGTGTGAACGCATTGTTTTGGAGTGCTTTCTAACAGCACTTCCCAACACAACTGAATCAATAAGCAAACAGCAGGTGGTCTTTTGTTGTCATCTGAATGTACATTTTAAAAAAGGAAAGTGATCTTTACTTGTTGCCTTTGTCTGCACATTGTGTTGTTTTTGTAGACTTGATTATATGTAGCTCAAGTAATAGTCATGGGAGATTTTTAACAGAATTATTATAACGGAGTAGTTAAGCCAAAGAAGATATAAATTAGCCCATAATTTACTCAACCACAAGCCATCCTTTTTGGTATAGTAGTAGGAGTAGTTTCCTTAGAGTAGCAGTAGTTTCCATGCTGTATAATGGTGTTGGGTAGTGGCTTTTTTGTGGTTACAAAATTGTGGTTAAAAATCTGTTGTTAAACTAACCCATACACCACCAGGGTATTAATCTGATCTATTTGTTTTTAATAATAACATTGTTTTTGTTCATTCGTTCATTCATTTTCCTTCTGCTTAGTCCCTTATTTATCAGGGGTCACCACATCCACTGATAACCCCAAAGTTGGCCCATGGTAACCTTTTAATTTGGCCCGCCATCCCATCTGAGAAGAGAGGGAGATTTTTGGGGAGGGTTGGGGTTAATGCCTTTTATACAGTCATTTCTAATTTAATGTAACCTTTCGTTTGTTATTTATTTTATTTTATTTTTTTGAAAAACATAAGACAAACTTGAGTTAAATGTTTTGATTAAATGTTATAAATGAACTGTTTCTCAACGGTTAGAGCACAATTCAGAAGTCATCAAGGAGCAAATCAAGGCAAAGGCAGCTTGACTAGTGTATTCAGCATTAAACTCCATTGTGATGTAAATGGCATTATGTAATAATAATATATAATATAATTATAATATAATAATTATATAATTATAATAATATATATATATATATATATATATATATATATATATATATATATATATATATACACACACACACACACACACACACACACACACACACATATATATATATACATACATATATATACATATATATATATACATACATATATATATACATATATATATACACACACACACACACACACACATATATATATATAAATAAATTAACTATTATTTAGTTAATATTTGGAATTAACCGCCAAATATTCTGATATATGTTTTATATATGCCCTTCCAGCCACAACCCAGTACTTGAAAAAGACCCATACACACTTGCATTCACACACACACTCACACACTATGGCCAGTTTTGTTTATCCAATTCCCCTTTAGCGCATGTGTTTGGACTGTGGGGGGAACCGGAGCACGCGAAGGAAAGCCACGCCAACGCAGGGAGAACATGCAAACGCCACACAGAAACTCAACTGGCTCGAACCAGCGAGCGTCTTATTGTCTAACCCCTGAGCCACCACTGTTTTTGTTTATCATAAACTTAAATCGGTGACTTCCGGTGACCGTCAAATGTCCATTCTCAAACTCTTTTTGGTTGACATCTGATTCAACGTCTGACGATGAAGGTGATTTAAGCAAACACAGTTGTGCAAAAGCTTTTTAGTGACATCCCCTGACATTTTAACTTTTCACTTTTCACTTTCAGTTCACATTGATTCTGGTAAGCACACATCACTTAACAAATTCAAGTGAATGTGCCCTAAGAAATGGCCAGGGATAGAAATGTTGTTCTTGGGCAACTAGGAATGTCCTAGAGGATTTTTTTTCCTATGACTGCACTCATGTAACTACCTCGTGCAAAAGCTAATCATTCCAGAAACCTGTTTACACATTGACTAAGCAGCAGCATAGAGATGTAAATCAGCCTAATTTAAGGTAACTCAAACCATTTGCAACAAACCATTTATGTTCAAAAACTACTCCTAATGAGTGCTGTGAAATTAATCCATTTGAGTAAAAAAAGCCATTTGAGCAAAGTAAAACCCAATAAATGAAGAGAACTCAAACCAACTGAGTACTGCAAAACCCAATAAGTTAAGGCAACTGAAACCCGTCTGAGGAAACCGATTGCTACAAACCATTTACGTTAAAATCAAATCTATACGAGTACTGTGAACTTACTCCATTTAAGATGAAGTAATGATGTATTTATTAAGGGTGCTTTCACACCTGTGAATTGATTCAGTTGTTCCGAAACAGAGATTACAATTGTTACATCTTTGCTCTTGGAGCGGTTCGCTTTCACACTGTAAAGTTTCTAATCGGACCAAAAGAGCTAAAACAAGTCACGTGCGAGTAAACTCTCCTCACATTGGTCAGAGTGTCAGGGTTTATTTTGCAGCGTCCCGCTAAGCTGTCAGGAGAGGTAGTGGTTTGGTGGTGATTGAAAGGGTGCGCGCGACGTGTCTGAGGAGAGACGCGGTGAGGAGGGGTGAGAAGGGTGCGCAACGATGCCTATTTGAGGACCGGGAGGGAGACGCGAGATTACCGGGAGATCATCACTCGTTTGCGGGCATCCGGAGACTCGCGAAACTTCCCGCCCTACTCATAATTCTCTCTTCATATAGCCGTATGCCTATTACATATCCATAAAACACTGTGATATAACCGTGCTCGGATCGGATCGCTTTCTCACTGCAATCGAACCGCTCCAGGGTTCGTTTCAATCGAGCCGAGACCACCTCATTCAAGCGATCTCAGAGCGATTACTTTGGAGCGGAACAGAGCGCGATTGCCCTGTTCACATATGCCAAACGAACCGCGCTAACTGGGCAAACGAGACACGTTCCGAAACAAAAGTGTAGGTGTGAAAGCACCCTAACTCATTACATTCAACACTGAGTTCAAAACTCTTTCCAAATGAGTAGAATTAACTTTCAGTCAATTTTGAGTTTACAACACTCATTTCATTTGATAAATCTCACTGTTGGGTTTTACAGTGTAGACGTCTATTAGATTTTCACTGATAGCCCAAGTTTAGCCTTGCTTTAGCCAAGCTGTCTACATTTAGTTTCTATTAGACGTCTATTAAACACAAAATTGGTTGCTGGGAATAGTCATCTCTGATTTCACACTGTTGGAAGTAGGCGAAAAGTTCTATATACTCTCCTTGTCATTTGAAAGCTGAGATTATGTATTTAGTTTTAATATCTATTTTCTCTTTTGTGTCGCATGCACTTTGATACCTTCTAAACCGCTCTCAGTGACATAATAAAGAAGTGCCAGTCACGATGTTCCTCAATTGTTTGTCTGATCTAAAACCGCACCATTAGCAAAAACATATTATGATTCGAATTTGCATCCGCCTGAATGAACACAGTAATGATCACCAAATGGCATTTTTGTCTCTTGCGATCCTCTGTTGGGGTAAAGTCTTCTTCCCAAGGGTCAAGATGTGTTTCAAAACAACCAATTGACGATAAATGGCTCTCATAGGCACCACCACGTTTTTGACACAAATCATTTTGCATTTGGATTCTGTCACTCCTTAAGTCCTCAGGGTTCATGGTTTTCCACTAAGGGCACAATTAAGCTTGTAATTAGTAAGCCAATGTGGGAACATGCGGCGTCAACTGGTGTAAATCAAGCATACCTGAGTAGATATCAGTGGAAAAAACAACAAAAGAAACGATCACAGCACAATATAGCAGTCACTTACCTGCGTTTCTTCAGGGACCAGATTCTATATTGCGCATCAAGGTTATGACAAACATTCACATTAACTGATATTAGATAGGGCGACACAGTGGCTCAGTGGTTAGCACTGTCAACTCACAGCAATAAGGCTGCTGATTCAAGTCCCGGCTGGGTCAGTTGGCATTTCTGTGTGGAGTTTGCATGTTCTTTCCATGTTGGTGTGGGTTTCCTCCGGGTGCGCCGGTTTCCCCCACTGTCCAAACACATGCGCTATAGGATAACTGAAAAAACTAAACTGGCCGTTGAGTGTGTATGGATGTTTCCCAGTGTTGGGTTGCAGCTGAAAGGGCATCCACTGTGTAAAACATATGTTGGATAAGTTGGTGGTTCATTCCACTGTAGCAACCCCTGATGAATAAAGTGACTAAGCCAAAGGAAAATGAATGAATGATATTAGATAAACACTAGGCCAAATATAGTGTGTTAAAGCTACGGAACTATGCAAGTGGGTCACATCCTATTATCTGGCACAGTTTTGTTTCAAAGCGAAGACCAAAAAGCCCCATTCTAGATTATGGTTTCTAAAAATACCCAAGTAAAATAGGCAGACACAATACTAAGGTGCATTTAATCACTTTAATCCCAGTGATGGTAACATTACACACACATGAACATTCACAACATCCCAAAGGCATAACATTATTACATATGCGAACAATAAGGCGTTATACATTGCCTTCTGCTGATCATCCAGTGCCAAAGTCCCTAGGTCAATGATTTAGCAAAGTGCCAAGCTCGTTTGTTAATCTACTTGAATGTTCAGCAGTAATGTTCAAGGAAACCACAGCACCCAAGCTACTGATAGAGACCCAAGATTATATAAAATGATGTTTTATCTTGGTGAGAAATGGAGATGAGCTGCATGAGCGCATCTCTGAATCAGTACACATGCATACATATGATATGAATTGACACGCTGGGATATTATTATACATATATCGAGTTAAAACCATACAGTGTACATTCACTAGAGAGTCATTCACACAGAAAGCGCTTAAAATGTGGAGTGGAATGAAAGACACATCAGATCTGGATGTGGATTGTTTTATTTCCTGTTCCACTGAGTGGTACGGTGTGGTATGGTTTGGTACGCTTTTATGGCCATTTCCACTGTCAAAAGGTACCAAAAACCGAACCGTTACGTACCACTTTCCTAGCACAACAAAAGAAACTACTATACATTACGAAAATGAAGCGCGGCTGGAAAACAGTGTTTAATGCATCGCTCGTCACTTCAGGAGGATCCGTGAATTAATTTAGCTAAACTGCGACATGCTCATCTTGCGTAAATATTACCAACGATCCATCAGGTAGTGTTTTCCCCCCTCTCTCTCTCTCTGTTGGTAAAGCGCTGTCGACAAATATTTTTCCTCCATATCCCATAATGCACAGCGCATCAGCCTACGGCAGCTGAATTGGTCTAAAAGGCGCAGTACTTTTTGCGGTTGGGTCTGTTTTAGTACGGATCATATTCTCACCACAAAGAACCACTCCAGGGTTCGTTTGAAAGCGTACCGAGACCACCTCTTCAAGCAGGTCTCGGTATGCTTATTTGGTCCGCTTTTGGTGCACACTCAAGTACGATTGCTGCATTCTCACCTGCCCAAACGAACCACACCAAAAGGGGAAACGAACTCTAGTGCGATTCAACCGAACTAAATAAGGCAGGTGTGAAAGCACCCTGAGCTTTTCGTATGATGTGAACGACTCGTACAGCTTTACTATGACATTTCCTCAAACAACAAGAACATCGACTGCAACTTTCTATCTGACACCACGCCCACAATTGGTACAATTTGGCAGTGGAAATGCAAGTCTGATAAAGGTGACCCGTACAGTACCACTCAGTGGAAACAGGCCATTAGTTCCTAAAATGCAGTATTTTCACTGCAGAGAATTAAACGGGCAAAGTCTAGATCATTTTTACAAAAGAGCTGATTAAAACACAAGGAGAATTCTGTATGAAGTGCCATCAGGAAATAAAATAGGAAAACCAACAGTGGAGGACATTTAACGAACGTTAAAATGGTCAAAATTATAATTTAATACAACAATAAATAGCTCAGTTAATTCGGTTAACAGTCCAAATAATGGAAAATAAACACTACAACACAAATGTTTCAGTAAGTACTACACAAGCAGGAGAGCCATTAAAAAAATTCAACAAGAAGCCACCACCTGATGTCATTAAAATCTTTGATTCATTTACTGTTGCCAGCTGAAAACGATTAGCCAAATGCCAATGCCATGCAAAAAAACCTGGAGGTAATGAAATGTTCATGCAGCATGCTGTCTCGGAAGCCAAACTAACGTTCACCAAACTACATGCAAGAAAGGTGGCAGTGATGGAAGGTGAACTTTGCTAGGGGGAAAATGATATTATAATATATAATGCTTCCAAGAACAGGCTCATGTGAAGTTGTTAGGTGGCTCATGTTGCAGTTTAGTAACGTTACTGAACAAAAGTGATTGTGAGAAATGTCAGTACTTTCTGTTGAATCTTCAAGTAGTCTTTCAAAAATGTCCTGCCCAAAATCAAAGATAAATTTGTTAGGTAACGTAGGCGTGATTGGTTCACTCATCTGTCTCTCCGCCATGATGAAAGGGTTTTACGTGTCATCTACTTGAGAATGTCAGTGTAGAAGGGAACTGAAGATAAGAGACAGGATGCTAGTGATAAGTAACATGCCTCCGTGGCTTATGGGTCCTGGAAGGTTGCCACTACCGTTTCTGGCTTCATCCGCCATCTTAGCTTGAGCTTGTGCCTGTTTTTCTGCATGCTGTTCTGCGTAGACCATGTACAGCTCAACACAACGTCGAGCTTTCATTTGCTCGATTAGCATAGGATAGCCAATCTCCATAATGCTAACAGTGTCGCCGTCATTATCATCATTGGCTTCTGCTGCTCTTTCTTGGGTCTGCTTTTGAGGTTGGCTGGGTGTTTCTGGTGGGTTTGTGGTTACAGAATCATCTGTACTAGCTGCAGAGTTGGTTCTTTCAGAAGTGCTGTTGTTGTTTGTAACATTTTCTTGCATTTCACTCTGATCACTGTCTACTTCTGCTGCCTGGGGCTCAAAGAGGTCAGGGGATCTCCTCGATCTTCCTTCCGATTTCTCTCTGAGCAAATCTGTCCTCTTCATACACGTGTCCATAAACTTGTCATAGGACTGAGGAGGAGGATTCTGGAAGATTTCATGAGGGTTAAGATTTCCTTGTCCTGCAGAAGCCGATCCTGCATCACCAGGAATGCCGCCTTGAGAGTTAGTGTTCCCATTCATGTTACCGTCAGGTGGAGTCTGGCCATACCGTCTGTACATGTAGTGATTATAGTAGTATTCCTCCTGAGGGTTGTGAAAGTGGAAACGGGGGCGGGGGAAACTTCCCAGGCCATATCCCAGAGCCATTCCAGCCACAGCCCCAGCTCCAGCAGCTATAATTGCTTGCTTGCCGAATCCCTTTGATTTGTAAGAAGGGGCCATACCCATGCCCTGCACTGACTGGGCGAAAGGTGATCTGCCACCATATCCGTAACCACCATAGTTGCCGCCATAGGCTGGGCTCATGATTTTATTGTTGGGGTTCCAGTTTGGATACTGTGCCGCTCCAGGATATCCGCCTGCTCCTCCAACACCTCCACCAAACTGGTTAGGACTGGAACCTCCTCGGACTGGATAACCTGGATAGGACCCACCAACTGGGTAAGGGTTTCCACCAGGGTACCTGTTGGGGTACGACCCTGCTCCAGGATATGATGCTCCGCCTGGGTAGCCACCTTGTGCTGGGTAACCACCTTGTCCTGGGTAACCACTACGTCCTGGGTAGTTACCTTGTGGATATCCACCTTGCGCTGGGTAACCTCCTTGCGCAGGATAGCCACCTTGCGCAGGATAGCCACCTTGGGCTGGGTATCCACCTTGGGCTGGGTACCCACCTTGGTTAGGGTATCCAGCACGTCCTGGGTAGCTCCCTTGGTTTGGGTATCCTGGGTTAGAGCCTGCTGGTGGATATCTTCCTTGACCAGGGTACCCACCTCCAGCACCAGGGTAGGGAGGTGGATTCTGGTTTGGTACTTGAGGTTGGCGAGGATAGTTTCCAGGGGATGAGTGTGTCCCATGTGATGAGGTGCCTTTACTGCTGCTGCTGCTGCTACTACTACTGCTGCTGCCACCTTTGTTTCCGGAGCTGCTTCCACCTTTGTTTGAACTACTACTAGTTTTACCCCAGCCGAATCCACCTTTGGATCCACTCCCGCGTTTGGCCACAACTGACACCACAAGAGCCAGACAGAGCAATAGTATTGTTAAGCGACCCATCTGCATGGAAAAAGAGAGATGGTTTCAATAACATGAGAAAACTTCCATCAGACATTTAACTATCTGACAACATCATTAATTTTTTTATTTAAGTTTATACCGTACATAGCTTTTGCATATAATAGGAAACACTGATTCATAGCAGTAAATTAAACTGGATGTGGTGACCAACATATTATGTAAACACACTCACTAAATGGAAAATTGCTATGTAAATATATCAATATTAAACTATATTAAAAGATTTAGGGCTGTCATAAACACTCTTTTGGCATTAAAACATCTTTCAAGATTTCTTTAAAGGGATATTTCACCCAAAAATGAAAATTACCTCATCATTTAATCTTCCATATGTGGTTTTAAAGCTTTACAGGTTTCTTTCTTTTATTGAATACAAAAGAAGGGGGAGAAGACTATGGAATAAAATTGGTGCCAGCTTCAAGCGTTCAATATATGTTATTCTGTGATCAACAGAAGAGAGACTCAAATAAATTTTGAACAAGTAAAGAGGGAATGATGACAGAATATTGATTTTTGGGTATTAGTATGTCCCACTTCCTGGATGTCAGTGGTTTCCGGTTTCCATCATTCTTCAAATTATCTTCTTGTTCAACAGAACAAACAAACAAACCATCAAACTGGCTTGGAACAAGTCAAATGTCAGTAAATTATTCCTTTTAACAGGGTTTATACGGTCATGGGAAACCTGGACAAGTCATGGAATTGACATGGCATTTTTCAGGCCTGGAAAAGTTTTGAAAAAAGAGAAAAACCCACAAAGTTTTGGAAAAGTCATGGAAATTAGTTAAACAAATATCTGTATACTTGAATTCAGGCTGCGCGACATTGGAAAAATCTGATATTCCCATATTTTGTATTTCTGATGTATATTGCGATGTGAATACAAATTCACCAGATGATTTAACAGGTTTATTTGGATTGATTGGGGGGATTTTGTAGAGGAGTGAATCCCAAATAATATATAACAAATAAATTACATAAATCAAATATAGTAAAGATAAAAGTGAGTTAATAGTTTCAGGTATTCACTATTCAGGTACAGATAATGAATAATCAACACTGCAGTCTTCATTGTATATTATTTAGTCTTTATTAAAGTTACAAAAAATTAATTGTGGCCGGATGTTTTAAACTCTGATATTTTAAAATGTTCAGTTACAGGCTTTAAAAGGACAGATTAAATTTTACTCACCATTTACTTACACTTGACTTGTTTCAATACTATAGGAGTTATTAAATCATGTTTGTTTTGTGTTCATTTGAAAAAGAAAAATCAAATGTTTAAGACAAGTGAAGGGTGTAATGAAAAAGGCAGGTTATTTTTGGGTGAACTATCTCTTTAAAAATGCATGCGGATGATAAACTTTTACTCCATTATGATTAAACTCCATATTAAACTATAATCTCAACATTGCATATCCTGCGATGTGACTATTGCGGATGCACACATTGCGATATCCATGCTGAAATGATATATTGTGCAGCTCTAACTTGAATATAGGTTGGTTGTCTTTAGTTATTTTCTTTGCTTGGCCAAAAACTCGCTCTAATATTGTTAGTGCTGTGTCAGCATTATCAAAATCAATTTTACATAGGTATAAAAACAAATTTAAACAAAATAGAATGTTGCGTGTTTTATGATATGCTGTAATGAATTTCAACGCCAATGTTTTTCTTGTCATTTATCATGTACAGTTGAAGTCTTTTTTTAAATATTTCCCAAATGATGTTTAACAGAGCAATGAAATGTTCACAGTATGTCTGATAATATTTTTTCTTCTTGAGAAAGTCTTATTTGTTTCATTACGGCTAGAATAAAAGCAGTCTTTTATTTTTTAAACACTATTTTAAGGTTAATAATATTAGCCCCTTTAAGCTATATTTTTTTCAATCGTCTACAGAACAAACCATCGTTATACAATAACTTGCCTAA